TTGGTAAGCTGGTTATTATAGTATTATAGCAATAGAGTTCCGTTAGGGATTTAGGTAAAGTTGGTAGGATAGTTATTGGAGTATTAGAGCAATTGAGCACCGTTAAGGAGTTGGGTAGAGTTGGTAACCTGGTTATTTCAGTATTATAGCAATAGAGTTCCGTTAAGGATTTTGGTAGAGTTGGTAAGCTATTAATTTTAGCGTTATGACACCAGAGTTTTGTTAATTTTTGATATCTTTGCAATCCACCACTTAAAGTGTTTAATATGTTATCTTTATTAGTATCTGTAATAGTTAAACTATCAATTGAATCATCATAAATGATTGATTCAAGATCACAGATCCTTCCTTTCAATTCAATAATAATTAGGTTGAATGGTGTTTTTATACTGATGCACGCAGATCAAATTTCGTTAATCTAAACTACCTATCCCAACACTAACATCTGCTTTCATTTGTCTTAAGCATCGATTATCCTGGGTAAAATAAAAATGGTCGCCAGACATACTTATACACATGCAATATCAGAAATAATAAAGTTCCTTCGAAAATTATGTTGTTTCCTCTCGTGATATTAATAAGGTCCTTGGAATTCCTGGCGAAAAAATTTGGTATTAGATTGTAAACCAGAACCAAGTATTGCGCAATATTTTCCGATTGTTCGTTATGAATTTCTCAGTGAAGGGGTTTTTCTTATCGTACGCAAAATAAGATTATGACCATAATATTTCTATAGATAGATGAGTCATCATACCAATTTTAAGTGATTAAGTCACATGCTTGATATCAGTAAAAGAAAATTTTAATCATCAATTTTTAAATACCGCCGTTCGCTCTTTCAAAAGTTCTTGTTAAATATTCTCATGATGAAAGTTATGATAAATATGAGTAACTCTACTTTCCCTACTTTTAATGCCCTATCCTCGTCTCAAACGGAGATGGACAGTGAACGAGGTAAGTCTTAGCTTTTTTTTGTTTACTAATTTATGAATAACACACACAATCTATCTATCTATCTATCTCTCTTTCTCTCTCTAAAAGCTTCTTTATAAATATTCTTTTTTTTTTAGATTTGCAGAGAAATCTATTTAATGGCTTAAAAATGCGGAGAACTGGGTCTCTACAATACGTTTTTCTGTCATTTCAGGTACTCTCAAAGGTTTTATTTCTTATGACAAAATCATGCATTGACGTTTATACTCTTTGATGTTCTACATCAGAATCAACAACGCAATCCACCCCGTAGGTCACGATCAACGCCCAATTTCAGTGGTAAGAATGCTCAGGTCTATGATAATAACGATAAATACGGTGTGGGACTTTTTACTTTACCTATATACGAAGAATTCTCTTCCAAGAAAAAAGAAGAAAAAGAAGATAAAGAAGCGCAGAACGAAAAAGTTTATGAAGCCAAAGATATTTTTACGCAAACACTTGGAACAGATTGCAAATTGGATAAACATCTTACAACCCATAGACCAAAAGGACATGTACACGAAAACTATAAACGTTTCTTGGAAAGTCAATCTCAAAAAAATAATCGCAGTATAATTCGGAGCATCAATAGTGGGAAAACGCCAACCCAGAAAACATATGATCACGTTTCGACAGAGGATCGATCTGGCCAATTTCCCTCTACATATCCTTCCTCGAAATCAGAATCAGGAAGTGATGTCAAGAAAAGAGCGTTGGGATCATGGTAATTGTTCAGAAATGAACACGTGGACTCATCTAAGTCAAGTAAGACCAAATACGCCAATTCAGACTCTCACAATATTAAAAGAAACAGCAAAGTATCCCTACCAAAATTGCAGGATGTCCTGTGTCAACTTTTTAATCAATTGAAAGACGAACTTCATGACTTTACGGAAAAGGATCAGCGGCTTCTTGATGTAAGCCTTAGAGGACATCTTGCTAAAACCTTTGGTATCACTAAAATTTTTCCTTTGTATTTAGACCGTTCTGAATTTGTGATGTGGTTTCTAGATGAAAATAAATGCTTGTTTATGTGGAATGAAATGGAGAA